CATCATTAGGTTAAAAGATTACCTTGCAAGCTTCGATTCTTTGTAATACTTTCTGTTAATTCTGTTGCTGGTGTATGCATTTAAATTTACTTCCGTTCTACATGTCCACTAAATGAAAAAACAAATAAAAATTTCTTACTTGCGGTACTGCTTGCTTGAGTTCGCCGAAAGTCATATACGTGATGTTCGATGGTGTAGATGTTGAAATCTATAAGGTAAGTAGCGACTTTTTCAACATTTGACTTTTTATCAAAGAGTTTTTTACTATTTAGATATTATTCTGATGTATATTTCCAATCTAATGAGTAAATGTCGAATTTGTTCACCTTGTCAAGATCAATCATCAGTTGTGAGACTTCGTCCAGCATGTTTTGCCTAAGCTTCTCATCCGGTTGAATTAATTTCAGTAAGGTGCTTTTTGTAAGATTCTGAAGTTTAAGCATTTAACATTTAGAATTTCCTCGAACGCTCTTGCAGTCTTACCTGAGTGAGTTGAACCTGCAGCAGAGTGTCGATCTCTGTAGGACCCGGATTAGCAAGACGTATAAGATCTTGGCGAACGGGATCGACAATTTCGGAGATATCGGGTGGCCGGAACTGGAAGTATGTGGAATCATTATGAATTTTTTTACACTCAAAATTGTCCTACTAACCTGCAATGTGATTTGAGTGCGGTCCTGCGGATGCAAATCTGTATCAAACACTATCAAGTTAAATTCTCCAGCATACCAGCCTAGCATTCCACTGTGACGTTCCCAACTAGAAAAATCGGGAATTTCCCTTTTTTACGACAACCTATGAAACATATTAGCTGGCAGTATATAATTATTGAACTAACTTTTTGAGAAAGCACTTTCTCCAATAAAATGCAATAATGTCATAATAAATATACGATTATGCTCATAGAAATAAATTCAAAATTAAAAAAAATTGCACAGCTAAAAATTGATAGTCAATTGTATCTTGAAAAGGCATGCATGTAGAAATTTTCATAAGAAAATATAATTCTAGCAAACCTAACAACAGATAATTCTTCTTTTACCTATATGATGTTGGATTGAAGTTACATCCAGCCAATATTGGCCCACATGGCAGATTCTTCAAACGATCTAGAAGCGGAGCATAGCCAAGCTTCGTCCTGAAAATAGCTTTTTTCTCTGTTTCTTCGCTTCATCACAATAAGATCAGTTGGCCAGCTTTTGGTTCTCTGTTATTGGCTCTAACTCCACTTACCTTTGTGGTGTGTCCATACAAGAAGCGAATACGCTACGGGCCATTTTGGCTGTTTTACTGGTGTCATTGGAGTCGGCAGATGAGAGTAAGCCTATAAATAGTACAGAAGGACGGTTGAGTGAATAATTGAGGACTGAGACAGAGCTAATTTCTCTCATTTATTTTGTGAAGAACTATTGTTATGTTCCAAACTTTTTATCTCCCATTTCCCCAAACTATGTGATTTTAGAAAAGTGTAATTTGTTATTTTCTAAAATTGGGAGTTCTTACAAATAACAAACCATATAGAGCACGGCGAGTAGCTTCTGTTTGGAACTTTACAAAATTTAGCTGCTTCTCAGGATCTTGACGATGAAATTTTCCACAAGAGTATCGATAGAAATTCTCACAGGGATCCATA